GGTTGGACTCTGCCTCTGGGGTAGAGGCTGAAGGGGCATGCATCCCCTTGAGGGCTTAGCTGGAATCCACCCCCATAGTAGAGGCTGCAGGAAGCTCTGGGGGGGCATCTGCCCCCGCACCCACAGAAGGTTCCTGCCCTGCCATTGTTTTACATGAGGGCAGGGAAGATGATAAAGAAAAACAAAATATCCCGTGGGGCTGGTGAATCTAGTAGGAGTAAGCTGGGGCTGTGGGGCAAAAGGGGGAGAGGGAGAAAGGGGGCTGAAGCTCACTGAGCCACAGCCTCATAGAGAATTAAAACAACCAAAAATCTAGGAGGCCTATGTTTTGAGTGTGTGTGTGGGGGGTGGGGAGGGGAAAAAAACCCATACATACAAGGGCTGGGGAGAAACTCGAGCTGGCTTACTCAGCCACACAACCAACACCAGGTCAGGGGGAGTGGACCACAGGAATTACCACACAAGGGCATAAAACATACTTGGAAGGCTGTTGAGGCAGTTGTAAAAGATGGCTGGAGCATTGGAGGGGCTGTTTGTGGAAGATCTGTCCAGACGCCCCTCAGGCCTCCAGCCGGTCACTCAGCAGCAGGAAGGAAGACAAATCAGGATCAGATGCAGTGACATAGCTGTGGGGGAAGGTAGAAGCACTCAGTCAATTAGGAAGTGATCCAGTGCAGGTGTGGTGTCAGGTGGTGCAGCAGGGAATCTCCCTCTCTCCTGAGAGGGGGCAGCAGCAGCAGCAGCAGCGATGGTAGGAGCCTTCCAGTTCAGTCACTCAGGATGTGCTTCTGGTGAAAGTGGAGGTGAAGGTGGGGGTGGCCTGCCAAGGCAGCTGGGGCAGGCAAGGTTCCTTTAGGCTCCAGCAGCGATGGTAGGGCAGGGGCCCACAGGCAGCACAGGCTCCCTCCCCAGGCTGTCCCCCGACCACGGCATGGTGCCAGGCTGGGCAGCAGGCCGGAACAGGAGTGCAGAAGCTGGGGTGTGGTGCTAGGGTGTGGTGCAGTGTGGTGGACTCCTCCCTAAGGGGGCAGCAGCATGCAGCAGAGGACCCCCTCCCAGGGGGCAGCAAACAGCAGCAGCAGCCACCCAAGGCAGAAAGGGGTCCAACTTACTCCAAAAGCTCTGAGACTAAGCCAGCAGCTAATAGTAGCCAGAGGCAGGAAAGGACCTAGCCATCTTCTCCCCAGAAGCTCCTGAGACCAAGCTTGTAGCAACCAGCCACAGAAGCAGCAGCCTGGGACAGGAAGGGGCATGGCCAACTTCTTTCCAGAGGCTTCTCCCTGAGAAGCTCCTGAGAGCGTGTAGCCCTGAGCTATTTGCCAGGGCAGCTTTTTGTACTGCTGGGGACAGCACAGGTGCTGGCCCTGGGCTCTAGCTCTAGCTCCCCCTGGCTGCAGATCCGGGAGGAGTCAGGCAGGGTTATTTTGCCCCAAGGGGCACAATTTGCTCCTCAACAAAGTGCACGTCCAAGCACGTGCACTGAGGCAAACAGCCCTGGCTCCAATTTGCACCGCTTCTATTTGAGCTGCACCCCATGGGTGCATCTCCACAAGCGGGAACATGCGTTCCCCAGGGACAAATACCTGTGGCACATATTTGTGCTGCTGCTACTTCTCTCTAGGGAATGCCCCTGCACACACACTTTGGTGTGCAGCAAATTGCATCAAGTGGGTTAGGGGAGGCTGGGGCCAGCTCCAGGAGCCTTATCTGGGGTCCTGGGGGCCTCCCAGGGCTGGAGCAGTGGTGATCTGGGTTTGTGGAACCTGGCCAGCTCCCGGAGTGTGACTGGCCAGCTAAGCTCTATCTTCGGGCAGTGCATGTTGCTACCACATGTGCAACTCTGCTTTTTTTCTGGTGTGGGGTTTTTTGGCACCAGGAGATCCGAGTGTAAAAAAATGCCACTGTACTGCAAACTGGCAATGCAATGAATGCATGCATGAATGGCACTGCAGACCACATGTGCACACTTATCTGGACACGCCTCACAGGTAAACTGAATTTTTGCATCACTAACTTTTGACTCCCTAAGTTTACAGCCATAATAATGTTTGTTTAAATATTTTTTGTATTGTATATACATACATATATATATATATATACACACACACACACACACACACACACACACACACACACACACATGGGGGTGTATATGTATGTGTAGTTCATATATGATATATATACTTGTATTCTTTGGAAATATGTCAATTTCAAAAGTTTCCTTAAAATTAGACATGGATTGAAACCAAATTGATCTCTAATCATGGTGTATTTATGGTAGAGGTTTATATATGCCTTCCATTGTTGCCTCAGGTGGTGGCAACTCTCTTATCATAACCCTAGATATAATTTTTGCTATGCTTTGATAGAATTTTGTTCCAAATCTTACCTTGAAATTCCAGACATTTATATATTTCTTATGATTATGAAAAGTAACGAGGTTTTCTATGGGATTGAAAACATGCATCATACCAGCATTTTTAAAAGGTAATTAATATGACCTGAATTTATATGGGCCAGTAATCTGACCTCTACTCCAGAAATATATAGTGGAATAGTCAATAAAGTTGAAAAATAGAAGAATACCAGTCAACAGGGTTTGTTGATAAATAGATCTTGTCAAATTACCTTGATATTTTTTGACAAGATTACAGATCTAGTTGATAAGGGTAACTGTGTTGATATATTCTTCCCTCAAACCATTTGTCACATCGAATTCTGACATTATAGCTTAAATTAGATTGAAAGCTTTTTGCAGTAGGGGCCAAATCTTTGTGTATGATTGTACATCCATGTGGCCCTGACCCAAATTACCATATCAAGCCCTGTTAATGTTGACATAATGCAAATAATAAATAGGTAATACACACATGCATTTCCACGGCATTTCAAAATGAATATATGTCTCCTCTTTGTTTTTTGCCTTATACTGTTGCATGGAGTGTAGGGTTTGATTTTCTTCTCTTATGCATCATGTGTGCTTCATCACAATAACTCCTGAAATGATTCGGCAGTGCATGGAAAATGCTTTGGGTTCCTGTAGAATGAAAAATAAAATTAACATAGAAATAAGAGACATACATGATTAGTAAAGAAGCAAAACAGTTTTATATTAGGAAGCATCATAAATCATAATATTAAAAATAGAATTAAAGTGTTTACCATTTCCTGGTCAATACCTAGTACACCCTAGCCCAAGACTTTTGCCTGGATTGGATGCACTAAACTGTTATTTTAGGACCATAGATAAGGCAGAGGGCCTAAAATGATACTAGCAGTGCATTAACAGAACATGGCATAATGTACATAATATATGTCTAAAATAATTATGTTCAATCAGAATAAAATAAATTAGATTTTTAAAACACTCAAGCATTCAGAATATATACAAGTATGGTTAGTGTGTTCTGCAGTACATCAAACAGAAAATTAGGTCTCTTAACCATAAGGAAACATTTAGTAAATTAGCGTTATAGTTTAAGAACCAAATAACTGCAATCACTTGTTTTACACTGATACTGTAAATCCTGTATTTAGCTGATGTGCACAGATTGGACACACGTTATTTACGTTGTTACTAGGAAACCATGAACATTAGTTGGAGATAATCACATAGTAAACTGCACTGGAAGCAGTGGTAACTAGGAGGAAGCTGTACTAATATTCTTATTTTATGGCTTGATATTGTAAATGATATGCAAATAACTTGACTGTTATTGTCATGACTGTTGTGCAGTTATAATATTCTCTGCACTACCTCATTATTATTTTTAGGGTAGTTGCACACATGGAACTATGATTCTTAGGCCAAGAAATTATGGGCTTTTATGTATACTTCGGGAAAAGAACTGCAAAAGGGAAAAGACCAAAATTATTATAACTATGGTTCTAATGACTGCTATAGCAAAGGTTGCCTGTGTGTTTTCATTATATTTCATTATAATCTCCTGTTTTCAGCCACTTAGGAAGCTTATGAAACTTTCATCTTTCAGGCTAAATTTGTCCAGGCCAGTTATCTGCCAGAAAGGAATTTTTTTTCTAAATCTGAGAAAAGGAGTTAGTTCATTTTAGTTCAAGGGTGAGGGAAGTGGGGGGCATCTTTTCTTATAATGATGATTGTTTTAACTTCTTCTGAGTACAACAGTGGTCCAGGCAGAAATTCTATTTGACAAGAACAGGTCTTCAAAGGCATGGCATGAGTAGGAAAGCAATATACTGCTCTCATTTCTACTGATGAATGTTCCAAACCATCTCAGTACAGCTACTCTTTGCTTAACATCGCAGTTATGTCCTTGAAAAATGTGACTTTAAGCAAAGTGATATTAAGCTAATCCAATTACATCATAGTAGTTACCTACTAGCCAGCAGTGGCCAAACAACTTTATAACCGAACATTGCACAACTTTAAATGAGTATGTTCTCTAATAGATCAACGATGTTATGATGAAATCATGTCAACCGGGACAACGTTAAGTGAGAAGTACCTGTACATCTTATCTTCTCTTCTTTCCTTTCCAAATGTTTCACTCTTTCTATATGAAATGTCTCATCTCAACTC